CCCCCCTGCCTCGCCTTTGGTCTCTGAGGACCCCATCAACAAGTATCTGCCATAACCACTTCTCATGTTTTCATTCTCCTGTCGCTGCAGTCACCTTCACAGCTGCTGAAAAAGGTTTGAAGTTTTCATTCCCACACCCCAGAGCTTCTCGCTTTCCATCTGGCCTGAACAAGAGTGTGTATGTGTGTGTGTGTGTGTGTGTGTGTGAGTGTGTGTGTGTGTGTGGGGGGGGGGGTGCTTGGCACGAGGCTGAAGGCTGTGCAGAGGGGCTCACTCCGGGGAACAGAGATGAGGTCCTAATTGCTTTGTTAGAATTCTCTGCATCCAGTCGCCCTGGGGGCAGATGAATGGGACACACTCGCCGAGTCCTGAACCTCCCTCAGTGACACGAACGGACGACGTTCAGCCACACGGAGCCTCCGCTGGCCTCACGACGCCTGAACGCCTCCCAAGCTGCAGTTTTAATCTTTGGCCAAGGCTCACTCCTGAGTTTTGTTGCTTCGATTCGAGAACATCTCGATCTGCCGACAAACTGTGAAATGAACTGCTGGATCTGATCCCTAGGTGGCGCTGTGTCCACCAGGCAAGACCGCCACCCTGCTGGCGATCATTCAGCCGTGACAGCCTGTGAAAGCTTTCGTCGGAGGAAGCGAAGATTTAAAACCCAGATTAGCGCATTCATATCTTGGAAGTTAATTAAAGGAGGTAACTGAAAGCGCTGGCTGCTGAGCCATGAAGCGGAGAAACAGGAGGAGGCGCGCTCCTCGCACTGAGACACAAATGTGAATTAAGTGCACATGAGACCCAGCCCATTGTGTCCTTTATAGTGAGCAATTTCTTCATCTGTATTTTTTATTAATTTGTTTAAATATTTTGAGTTACGCTATGAAACCCTGCAGTACTCTGTAGAGGACAACTGGGATTCCCAGTGGTGTGAATGTGACAGGTTTGCATGCTGGGAACCAACACTATGGTCTTGTTTATTAACATGTCAATGATGCTCGGGGATCAGTTCAGTTATTTCAGTCATGTCAATTTATGAATGTCGATTGTAGTGGACACCAGGAACATTATAATGTATTTATAAGGAGTCAGAATTGTTGTAGGACAAAGAAGTGAAGCAGAGAGGACTTTATACCAAATATTTGAGGGACATTCAGATTTTGGGCTGTCAAATGAGGATGAGTATCAGCCTGGGACAGAAGATGATGAAGAAGGAGAAGAAGAAGATGCAGGAGTCTCTGATGAAGAGACAGACTCAGAGTCAGAAAGGGAGCAGTGCTTTGTGGGCCGGGACTACCTTGTATGTTCAATTTTGTTCCGATGTATCCAATTCTATTATCACATTAGATTATTGCTGTATTAGTATTTTAGTACTTGTGCTTTTTTTTTTCCATCCATCATAATAGATTTACACCTGTGCTACTTGGACTTCCTGTCCATGAACATGATCCTAACATGTGAGAACACTGGAGTCCAGTCCAGTACTTTTCACAGTACATTGATGACAAAGTCTTTGAAGACATGGCAACTTTTACAAATCAAAGACAACTGCAAACTACAGGAGTCACTAAACACCCAAGAAATCATTTGGCACATCAGCAGGGCCAGATTAACAATCCCAGGGGCCCCTGGGCACTGAAGCTCACAGGGCCCCCCTCCCTAACCTAACACCAATTTCATTATATATTTATATATACATATATATATAATCAATAAGCTATGAATACCCAACAGTACTGGGACTTCAAATTGCACCTGGCTGAAGAGCTGTTGGCTAGTCCTTCATTTGATACTAGCAGTGAAGAAGAGTATCAGCCACCAACCAAAACAAGGATCTATCAATGTTGGATGCTGCCTACCATGGTGTGCTAAGATTCATAACGGTTGTAACTACCGTACCATCACTGTACCCTGTACTGCTTGGTCAGGTGGTCATCATTATCTACACGTAGTCTCTCACACTGGTTCATTTTCATCTATAAATCCCTCCTTGGTCTGTTACCTTCTTATATCTCCTCCCACATGTCACACTGTCAGTGCAGTTACAACATGCACTCTCAGGACATCATTACCTGCAGCATTCCCTCAGTGCAGACTGAACTTGGCAAAAAGGCTTTTCCTACTCAGCTCCTGCATCTGGAACATCTTGCAACAGGAACTGAAGTTGTCCACCTTGATTTCTTTAAGGAGTTTCACACATTTGATAAAGTCAATAGAAAAATCAAAGCGGATATGTTCTTGTTTTTAGTATTTCACCTTGTTTTACTGCACCCTGATTTGCTGTTTTATACACTACTCTCATTTTAACTGCATTTTCACTGTAGTTTATTGTTATTGTTTGTACTTTATAAGTTCTGTCTGGAACAGGTCTCTCTTGTAAATGAGTCCTCGTGGCTCAATGAGACTAGTCTGTAAAAATAAAGGTTGAATGAAAAATCAACCAGAGCCATCAGTTCACAGACAAGGCCCAGGCACATGCAGAGATGGACATCAAGCATTCAGAAAGATGCATGAAAAAGGGCTGAAATGGCAAGACATGCATGAAGTGTCTGCAAAATGTCCCCCTGCACCACCTAAAGGAGACAAGCTTCCAGGACTATCACTGGTAAAAAACAGAAAAACTGCAGAACGGCTTATGTTCACTGGCAACTACTGTCCTTGCAAGCAACAGAAAACAATCAAGAATGATAAAAGAATTATGTTTTTTTCATCAAATTAAATGTATTATTTTTAAATATCACTCTAAATCCATCATCTACTCATTTTTTATTTTCTAAATGCAGTTGTATTTTCACATTAAAGTCATCTGTTGTCCACTACAGTCCACCTGCTGTGCAACTAAAAATAATGTTTTAAAAATGTAGCTCATAAGGTGATTTTTAGAACCCAACAGGAAATCACACATAAAAGAAATTGGAAGACACGTTTTCCCCGTGGGTTCCCAGGATGCACCTGACTGTGGTGCTAATGCTCCTGTGCACCCACTGAATATGAATGATTACCCCCCCCCCCCTTTTCTGCAAACTTTCCTTTGACTGGAGCTTTGCCACATGTGTGCACACACCTCTGTACACAAACACTTTCTTTAGGTTCATGCATGAGTGTTGCATGTGTACGCCCTTCAGAACGTTGGTGTTAATGTCAGCGGGCTCATATTTGACCTGTCAGGACTGATCCGTGTCGCCTCCACAGCTGCTTCGCTTCAGTCCAGGAAGAAAACACAATCTGTCCTGAAACTTTACCGAGAGACAAAGAAAGGAAAGCTTCATGTGCATAATACAGTCATGGACAAAGTAAAGTCCATGTTGTTTTGTGGGCAGTTGTTTCTCCTCAGATTTCTTCAGGATCTCAGATCAAGGTCTGGACTTTGGCTGGATCATAGTTTTAAGTCTTTTCTTTTTCAGCCTTTTCATTTGATGCTGTTAGAGATCATTGTTCGTTTGCATCGTGACCCAGTTGGATCCTGGTTTCAGCTGTCAGACAGATGACCTCACACTGAACTCTTAAATCCTCTGTTCTGCAGGAGTTCATGGTCCTCAACAACTGCATAGTATCCAGGTCCTGCAAGATGCACCTAAATCTCCTGCACCGAACCTGACGGTCAGTCTCGTCTGTGCAGAGCTGTCTTCTTGTTTATTTAGATGCATCCACGCTGCCCTGTCCTTTTCAGACAGAAACGATCTTTACCTTGCAGCCATTAAAACAAGCTATATTTGTAAGGTATTTTTCAAAGTGTCACATCATGAAGTTTAACCTCCAAGTACAGGACAGTAGCGTCTGAAATGGATGTCTTGTTTTATCTTCCTTTATTTATTTAATTTTATTTTTCTATGCTTGGCACAATTTGACTTTGCTCGACTGCCCACTTCAGTGAAGTCTGGCAGCTGTCCTAAAAGTTTTCTACTTGTTCTTCTTTTAAAATCACAGACTCCAAATGGTTTAGAAATGACCTTTGACCCTTCTCAGATTGATAGGCAGCGACAGTTGCTTCTCTAAGGTAATTGCTGATGCCTGTCTGTTGTATTAACACACACCTGAATGCTCTGGAGCAGCAACCTGACACAACGCCTGCTTTTATAGAGGTCCTCACACTGATAATGATCAGTTAATCCATACATTTCATTACAGCACCTGGCTGCTACTTTAACTCCTAAATTATAGTAAAAAAAATAGTGTGGATATATATATATATATATGTATATATATATTTTTTTTTTTTTTTTTT